GTGGGTGGTGCTGGAACCTGGGTGGGAGCACAAGATTGTGTTAAATGAAGCTGTAGCAAGTTCAGTTGGAGGTGGTCCAGGTGTTCACTTGGCATCATCCAGATGTGTCTGCAAAGAGCTGATGCTCACAAGCCCTTGGGATGAGGGCACCCTCTCCCAGATTGGGTCCATGGGGTGCTAGTGAGGGTCCAGGGTGTGTGGTGGGAGGGAGGGGGGTGCCTTGTGCTCAGCCCAGCTGCGTTTCTCCTTTCACCCAGTTCCAGAGCAATGCTGCGCTCTTTGAGGCCGTGGAACTGCAGGATCTTGACAGGGTGCAGGAGATGCTAAAGCACTACAGCCCTGAGGAGCTGGACCTCAACACCCCCAACAGCGAGGGGCTCCTGCCCCTGGACATCGCCATCATGACCAACAATGCTCCCATCGCCAGGGCCCTGCTGCAGGCGGGAGCGAAGGAGAGCCCACACTGTGAGTTGGGACAGGTGTCATGCTGTGCCCATCACCTGGGTCTGCAGCGTGGTGCAGTGGAGCACCCCCGGCAGTGGATGCAGGTGGGGAGGTGATCACTGGGCTCTGGGACACCAGTGCGGGCTGCAGCAGGGCTGCAGGGGAACCGTGCGCTCAATCAGCCCCAGGACCGGGACACAGCGAGGAGCTGGGGTCTCAGGGTGGGGATTCTTCCAGCAGAGGCAGAGCTTGCCCTAACCACCTTGTCCTCCCTTTCCTCCTGGGCCTGTGGCCGTGTGCTCCCTCCTGCAGTCGTGAGCCTGGAGAGCCGCTCGCTGCACCTGTCCACGCTGGTGCGGGAGGCGGAGCAGCGCGTCAACGAGCTGATGGCGCAGGTGGTGAACGAGGCGCCCCACGCCGACTGCTCCGAGAAGGAGAAGCAGCTCAAGGCCTGGGAGTGGCGGTTCCGGCTGTACAAGCGCATGAAGGCAGGGTTTGAGCATGCCCGTGAGTGCCCGCAGCGCGGCTGGGGCTGTGCCTGCTCTGGGGGAAGGACTGGGGCTGTGCATGGCTCCAGCTCCCATCACCTGCACCCTGAGGCCAGGCTTGCAGTGTGGTGCATGGAGGGAGAACATGTTCCATCAGGGAATATGTCCCTGGGACTGGGGAGAGGCCCAAGAGGGACGCAGGGAGGTTCAGAGTGACCATCATGGCTGTAGCAGCGCCTGCCCTCTCTGTCCCCAGGAGTGCCAGATGCCCCCAGCAGTGTCCACCTCTCTGTGGCCAGCAGCACCTCACTGCAGGTGACCTTCTGGGAGCCCCTGAGTGTCAATTCAGCTGTTGTCACCAAGTACAAAGGTAAGGACGGGGATCCCTGCAGCAGGGCAGGGTCACACAGCCACAGCAGGTGCCTTGCACCCCATGTCAACACAACAGAGCATGGGCAGTGCTGCCAAGCCCCAGTCAGGCCAGTTTTATGCTGGACGACAGAGGAAGCCACAGCTGCTGGACAGCCTGGCCACCACCCAAATGCTCTGAGCTAGACCAAACATCATCCTGCACCAAGGCAAAACTTGGGGTGTTGCTTGTTGGCTGCTCCCTCATCCTGCACACTGGGAAGACTTTGTTGTTATGCACCCCTCACCCACTTAAACCAGATATTTTTGGCTTCTGGAAGAGTTTCTTCCACCCCCAACTTCTGAGCCACCAATTAGAGGTGCTGAGCCCATCTTAGGTGGCTTGGTGAGGACAGCAGCTCCCCATGACCTTCCCCCCTCTGTGAATCACCTTTTCCATGCCTGCACTCTGCTGCCTCCATCTCTTGTGCTGTCTGCAGTCCCCCTGAGCTGCTCTCTGTGACACGCTGCCCCAGCCCTGGTGGCCTGTCCCCACTCCAGGGCCTCATGGCACCTTGGGGTCTCTGTCCTTGCAGTGGAGTGGAGCTGCTCCCCCACCTTCTCACCACTGCTGGGAGAAGCTGTGATTGACAAGCTGAAGGACCTGCACTTCACCATCCAGGGGCTGGTGTCGGTGAGTGCCCAAGCGGGCAGGGCACAGCAGGGAGAGCCCACAGCTGGGAAAAGGCCTTAGTGCAGCCCATGAGGAGGGGATCAGGCACTGCCACAGGCTGCCCAGGGAGTCGTCATCCCTGGAAATGTTCAGAAGATGTGTATTTGGTACCTGGGGACATGGTTTAGTGGTGGCCTTGGCAGTGGTTGGACTCAGTGATCCTAGATGCCTTTTCCAACCTTAATGGTTCTTTGTTTCTGTGATCATTCTGAGCAGGAAGAGTAGGGCTGTGCCACGCTGTGTGCCATGGGCGCAGCTTGGGCAGAGCCAAGACCATGGGGCTGGGAGAAGCATTTGTCTGTCCCCACATGGCTGAAGCCCCTGACAGTGGGGCACCTCCCTGAGAGGGTGCCTGGGGACTGCAGTGACAGCCAGAATGGGCCCATTCACCCAGCTCTGATTTATCCTCCGTCCCCCTCCCCACTCCTGTCTCCACCCAGGCTCTTCCTGGGCAGTAAATCAGTGCTCAGCCCTCTGCCACCTGCACAGTCCAACCCCTCAGCCCAGCCCCAGTGTCACCAAGAGGGGGGACCAGCCCCATCTTCATCTTTGGGAGCTCAGCAAGGTCGTGGCTGGTGGGACTGTGGCTCCCTGCTGGTTTATCTCCCTGAGAGCTGCAGGAGCCGTGCCTGGGCTGGCACCAGGGACACAGGGACTGTGGTGGGATGGAGCTCAGGATGGGAGCACGGGCAGATGGGGTCAGCCTTAGCAGGGGTAGGCAGGCAGGGAGCACTGATTTGAGGAGCAGAGAACCCCCTTGGTGAGGTGAGGTGAGAGGGGCTGAGGCCCAGCAGCAGTGCCCAGCCCAGGAGCTGTCAGGGCTGTCTGTGGTGTGGCAGGAGGGACTCGAGCAGAGCCTGGAGCAGCATCACTGCAAGGAGCTGCTCCAAGCCCATCAATCACACTCTCAGAGCTGCTTCACAGGCTCCTGCCACCTTCATGAGTGCCTGGAGGCCTGGCAACATCTGGCAGCTTGGCTGGGCTTTAATCAGAGGCTTTAATCACCGTCACTGTGCTACAAGCCCTTGACAGTGCTGGGCCAGCTCCCTGTCTCCAGGGGCTGAATCCTTACGTGTCCCAGGGGATCGCCAGCACCCAACCTACAGAAGCACTGAGTCTTTCAGGCTGGAGCCTCTCTGGCAATTTGCAATGTCCAGTCCTTCCTGTGTGCCCCAAACCCACCCAGCAAGGCCACAGGGATTCTCTAGTGCCTCATAACAAGGGCTTTGTAAGGAGGGGAGGTGAGAGCCAGTGACTGGGCTGTGGGCTCCCAGCTGAGTGCTCCTCATGCTGTACTGGAGCAGAGGGCTGGGGGGAATCCCCCTTGCCTCCCTGCCAAGCTGGGAGGGGTGGGGTGTGCTGAGTGTGCTGCTCTCCTTGCAGGGCACGGCGTACCACGTCCGCGTGTCTGCCTACAACATGAAGGGCTGGGGTCCCCCGCAAGCCTCCACGCCCCCCTTCGCCATCCCCTCCAGTGAGTACCCCTGGCAACACCCCCATGGATGCCAGCGTGGGGCAGGGGCGACAGGACAGCCCCCCGTGCCATCCAGGGGTCCCTCTCACTGCTGGGATGGGAGTGAGCGGAGCTGGGGCAGAGTCTGGAGTCTCAGGCCGGGCAGGGAGGCTGTGCCTGGGGGTCTGGGGTGCTGCCTGCAGCCTACAGGGGCTTTGCAAACAGTGAGTTTTCAGCCTTGAATTACCCTTGGCACCTGGGAAAGTCTGAGCCATTTCAGGCCACCTGAATCAGCTCATCCCATGGAGGAAGCTGGGAGGTGGCAAAGAGCCAGGACTCAGAGGGGTCCTGGGTGGCAGTGGCCTCTGTGCCTCCACATGGTCTCTCCCATCCAGCCCAGACTCAAGGAGCTGCATTCCCTGGCATGGATGGGGGTCACAAGCACCAACAGAGACCAGCTCTGGGCTGTCAGCGCTCTCCTCCCCATGCTGGCCCCAGGAAAATTGTCATGAAACAGCCCCAGTGTCACACAAGGAACCCCAGGGGGCTGGGTGGAGAAGGGCCAGGAGGACTGAGCTGAGACGAGCAGCCCAAAGGTGAAGTTCAGGACTAAGGAGGCTCCAGAATGGTCTCTGCCACTTGTCACCAGTCCCAAAACAGGTGCCTGTGTGGTGTCCCATGGGACTGGTGCTGTAAATGAGTAAGGAGCAGCCCCATGGGAGGCTGAGCTTGTCCCAAGGATCAGGCCATGGAGGCACGTCCTGTCCCACCAAGCTGCAGGCACCCAGGGAGCAGGGCTGCTGCTCCTGGAAGCAGGGAGGGCACTGGGAACAGATGGAGATGAACAGTAATGGGTCAGACATGTGCAGCACCATGCACACAGCCCTGGCTGCAGATCCACAGAGCGCTGAAATCACAAAAAATCCATTTGCATGTCTAGGAATGCACACAGCAAGGGCACAGCAGTCTACTACCGTGGCTTTATCTTGTCCCTGTCATGTTTGCACCCACTTTAAAGCCCATTTGCCACCTCACACAGGTCACATTCCCTGTGACCACGATCCAGGTGGCATCAATTGAGTGTGGCCAAAGTGAATCAGACAGGAGTGGGGTTTATTTATTTTTATTGCCAGTAATATTTCTCCCTTCACTGGAGATCCCTCCCTGGCCCAGCAGAATATGGTCAGGCACCTCCCTGGGTGTTTTTAAAGCTACTAAAAATAGCAGCAAGTTCCAGCCAAAGTTAACAGAGCTGAACTTTCCATGGAAAACAGCAGCGGGCAGGACATGGGGTGTTTAAAGCAATTAATATAAAGTTGAGGGAGAGGAGCAGGCAGGTCCCAGCCCTGCTCAGGGTCCTGCTGCTGTCCCACAGTGGGTGGAGCTGGCAGGAGTTTATTTATGTGTTTGTCGAGGTAAGCCCGGCTTCCAGCGCTCATCTGGAGTAACTGGGAAAGACCTGGAGGAAGAGACTGGAAAGAATTTTATTTTTTAAGGCCAGTGAAGTGAAGTGTAGCAGCAACAGACAGAACCTTGTTCCTTGCCCCTGGTGTGTCCCTGCCATGCTGTGGGGAGGCTGGTGGCCACGGGGTGCTGTGCAGACCTGGGTGTTCCTGGGAAGAGGGGCACAGAGCTGGGGATCGCCCAGCACCCACAAGTGCTGCCATGCGGTGGCGTGAGGGGGACACCCAGGGGGTGTGGGAGGAGGGGATGGAGCCCTTGTGCCCCAGAGGTGCCCCCACACAGGCAGAGGGTGCCGGGGTGACGCTGCTCTGTCCCACAGACTGGCGTGAGTACGACGGGCGGGCGCCGCGGCGGCGGGGCCAGGCTGAGGCCCTGGACCATCTCCTGGGCCAGGTGAAGACCGTCCACCAGCACTGCATCTGCCACGGTGAGCCCACAGCACGGTGCTCCACGGAGGCTGGGGTGGGGGCAGCTGAGCCCTGGGGGTGCTGGTGTGATCTGCAGAGCTGGTGCTGCAGGAACAGCTCTGTGCCAGGGATGTGAAGGGCAGGGAGACAGCTCAGCAGTGGAGACCTCAGCAGAGGGTTGGTATCAGCTCTTCATCTCCTGCTGCAGCATCCTCTGCTCTCTGCTCCACAGAGCCCTGCAAGAACCAGCCCCAGAGCAGAAAGCATTCAGTCTCCAAGAGCCTCAAGCACCTCTTCCACCCTGGCAGCAAGTTTCTCAAGACACTGAAGCGGTGAGAGCTGGTGCTCGGGGATGGTGAGAGCCCCTGTCCCAGCAGGGCTGCAGAGCTGCCCATCCTGAGAGCTGTGCCTGCATGCTGGGGGCTGGGGGTGCTCAGAGCAGGGTCTGCACTGGGAGTGAGCTGGTGGTGTCAGTGGAGATGAATCCCATGGCCCAGAGATCAGAGGTGCTCTGGGTGTCTCTATTTGGACTGGCCAAGCTGTGCTGGTGCCCAGATCCCTGCATCACCTCTGGGGCTCACCTGGCACCCCACCTTGTCCAGACCCAGAGTGTTCCCTGCACAGCCTGGCTCATCTCTGTCCCATGTGCTGCAGGGTCATGGGCCATGGTATCTCTGGGACACGTTGGGTTCCTGTCCCTGCTCCTGTGCCAGCCACAAGCCTCTTCTGCCATGGGCTGTTGGAGAGAAGTGGGGACTGGGACATCTCCTCTTCTCTCAGGAAAGAGACCCTTTGGGAGATGGAGCTGGCAGCTGGGGTGGTACTGAAGTCTCTCTTCTCTCCCCTGCAGGGGTCTCTACCTGACAGCCATCTTCTACAAGGATGACAACATCCTGGTGACCCACGAGGACCAGATCCCTGTGGTGGAGATTGATGACACCTACTCCTGCCTGCTCATGCAGGATTTCCTCTGGCTCACCAAGGTGAGGGACCCTGTGCTTGGGCAGAGGGCCAGGAGTGCCAAGGTGACCCAGGCAGGCATCAGGCAACACTTCTGCCCCTCCAGCCTGGACACTGGGGCTTGGCAGTGCAGGCAGCCCGTGGACTTGCTTCTTGCTGGGGTTCAGCACAGACCAGGAAATTTCAAGCCCAAAGATGGGTGACAGACCAGAGCAACGCTGAGCAGGCTGTGTGCCAGGGTGGGGTGCCTCTCCACAGGGATGTCAGTGGCTGTTGAACTGCTTCCACTCAGCATCCTGCCATGGCATCTCTGCCTCTGCTGTGGGATGCACAGGGAGCAGCTGCCAGCTCCTCTGATGTCAGCAGATTTAGGGAAAGGGCATGTGGGCAGCTCAGGGCCAAAATAATTTGCTGGGTGATCCTTATCTACTGATGGGGAGTGCTTTCTCCTCCCTCCCCACCTTGGCCAACTTGTATTCAAGCTTAAGGTTTCAGTCCTGGATGAAGATGGGTGTCTGAGTGGACACGGCTCAGGGCTGCCCTCAGGTGCAGGCACCTCAGCGCCTGTGGCACAGGGATTGGTTTGCACCCCTGCTGAGGTGCTGCATGCCCATGCACATTCCTGACCCAGCTGAGAGAGGCAAACACCTTCCCCAGAGCTCCCTGGTGTGCCCCAGCTGCAGCAGCAGTGACACTGGTGTGTGCAGGTGTCGTGCATGTGGGACGAGATCCTGTGGCTGAGGCAGTGTGTCACCGTGTCCCAGTCCTCCTGCTCCTGCATCCTGCAGACGCGCTTCAAGATGCTGTTGGCCATCTCACAGATGCAGGTGAGGGTCAGCCTGGGAGGGAACAAACACTTTGAGTGGGATGCTGGAGGCTGAGCTCCCTTGGGAGCAGCATGCAGATGTACCACAGTCAGATAAACCCAGGATCTGCAGGCCATGACTGCGTGTCCCTGCCTCGTCTCCTTAGCAGGACTCTGGACATGGCACAGTGAGGTGCCAGGTGTCATGGCAGTCTCCTGCAGAGGGGCTGGGCACCATCAGGGTGCTTTTCTGGGCAGACTGGTTTCCAGCAGGCAGCTGCAGGCACATTTCAGCTGCCCAGACCCACCATGCCTCCGGGATGTCCCCTGACCCTCTGCTTTCTCCTGCCTTCCCACCCTGTCACACAGGGGCTGCTGGGCATCCAGGACCTGGGGCAGGTCTTCTTTGAGCCCATCAAAGACAAGCAGGGCAACATCCTCATCGTCACCCTGAAGGAGGTGAAGACCAACCAGACCTTCGAGAGCGTCCGCTGGGTGCCCATCTGCAAGCTGCAGAGCGGCCGCAAGTCCGTGTCCTCCCCCGAGGAGCCCACGGCCCTGGACACGCTGCTCATCTCCCTGCAGGTCTGTGCTGGGGCTCCCCTGGGAAACACCAGTGCTCCCTGCTCCCCTCGGCCTGGAAGGGTCACAGCAGAGGGGGAGCAGAGCCCAGCCAGCTCCAAAATTCCTGTTGTTTCAAGGGGAGGCATCCAGATGGTGCCAGATTGGAGCTGGCAGTGCTGGGTTGTGTTCCTGTGCTGCTCCCCTTCTCCAGCTGCACTGGCTGTGCTACAGCATCAGCACAAGCCCTGCTGTGAGGACTTGCTTGGTCCAGCAGTGTCTTTGTTCCCAGGACAAGCTGGCTTATCACCAGCGGAGCAGCCATGCCCTCTCCCCGGGGCTCTACCTGGGCTACTTGAAGCTGTGCAGTGCCGTGGATCAGATCCGAGTGCTGGTGCCAGAGCAGCTCCCCAACATCCTGTGCCACGTCAAGATCCGCTCCAACCCCAACATCTCCAGGTGGGATTTGCAGGGGGTGGTGAGAGCCCCTGTCCCAGCCAGGCTGCTGTGTCTCACCCAGGCTACCAGCATCCATCACCTCCTTCTTCAGCAGCAGTGTGATATCCCCTCCTGTCCCCCCTGTGCAGTGCTCCCAGGCACAGGGTGGGGTTGTTGGGGTGTCCTGGGTGGGGTCAGGGCTGAACTCCACAATCCTGTGGGCCCCATCCAGCTCAGCATATTCTGTGCTTCTGATTCAGCCTAGAGCAAACCAAGTTCCCTCTCTACCTCCACCTCTCCCAAACCTCTGGGGATGCTGCACTGCCTGGGAGAGGAACAGCCAAGCAAACACAGCTCTCAGAGAAATTGTATCCATGTCCACCCAAACTGCTCCCTCCTTCACCTGTCTGTCTCTGGCCTTCTGCAGGGAGGAGTGGGAGTGGCTGCAGAAGATGGCCGGCGTGGAGGAGCCTGTTCCCACAGAGCCAGAGACTGACAGGTCCCAGAACCCCTTGTTTCAGGAGCTCCAAGTGGCCATCAAAGAACTGATGACCCTGGTGAACATCCCACTGCAAGAGGTAGAGGCAGGAGCCAAGGCCTGGGCAGAGGGAGGGGATGGGGCTGTGAGCACAGTGCTGGTGGTTGCAGCAGGTGGGGAACTGCATGTCTAGCTCTCCTTGTGAGGCTGGAGCACCCAGATTTTAGTGCTGTGCAAACAAAAGGTTTGTGAGTGGTGAGTCTGCCCTGCCCAGGGACAGTGTCCACAGGAGCTGTTTGTCCTTCCCACACTGTACCCCCAAAGCAGCAACAGCAAGTCTGGGTTGTTATTGCTGCCAGTGGTTTTGTCCTGGGCAGCACGAGACCAGCCCAGCTCTGCCCCTCCAAAGCAGGCTGGTCCCTGGCCAGTGCTGGACTGGAGCTGCAGCCCCTGGGGCCAGACTGCATGGGGAGAAACTTCCTTCCATCATGCCAAATATCTGCTGGTAAGCAGCCCCAATGACTGCTGGGTCATTGGGTATGTGCTTCTGGCTGGGCAGCTGGGAGGGCACCTCCTTGCTCATTGCTGAGCCATCACTGGTGGGACGTTTTCCACATCCTGCCATGGTGGCTTTGACCAGAAGTTTTGAAACTTTTAGGATAAATTAGGAGAAGTGATGAGATTATGCAGATTGTGCCAGAAGCCTCTGGTTATGTGCTGAAGGTGCAGTGTCCCCTGGCTGCAGGTGGTCCCTGAGGACTGCTCCATCCATGAGGACTGGGCAGAGGCCCCCCCAGGTGATGTGTGCAGCTGTTACCTGCACTATCCTCTTGCAGGCCAAAGACTTCCGTCTGTACAGCCAGGAGGTGCTGGACTTTGGGGATCAGGTCTCCTTCCTGCTGCTGCTGCCTCCATCAGATGATGTCTGCACCGCTCCGGGCCAGAACAACCCCTACACCCCTCGCTCTGGCTTCCTCACGCTGCCGCTGCAGATCTTTGAGCTGGGTGAGGAGAGGGAGTGCAAAAACCCAATTTTGCTGGTCCTCTTGTCCTCTGAGGCCCCCTGAGAGCTGGGCTGGGCAGGGGGTGGGTGCCTAGAGTTCCCTCCCTCCCTGGGGAGGAGGCATGCAGGGATGTACTGAGGGCTGTCCAGGTGGACTGATGGACAGTGTTGGCTCCTCATCTTGGGTGACAGGGAGGAGGCTGTAGGGCACCCACAGCATGGGACCTCATGTTTTACATCCCCCCTCTCGTTTCCTCTCCCAGTCCACTTCTTCACGTACAGCCGGGAGTTCATCACACAGTACTGCCAGGTGTCCGCCCTGCTGGAGCTAGAGTCCCTCCTGTCCCAGCAGAGCCTCAGGGAGGCTTTCTCCGATGCCGAGCTCGCCACTGCCAAGCAGAGGCACCAGAAGGTTCAGGACTACATCCAGGTATGGGGAGGAGGAGGCTCGACAGTGCCCCTGACCTGCCAGGACTCAGGCAGCAGCATCTGCACCCAGGCTGTTCCCTGGTCTTGGTAGCCCTGGGGGATTTCTCTGATGTTGTTGATGGGTAGCAGCAGGCAGGTCTTTCATAGATTCATGGAATGGTTTGGGTTGGAACAGATATTAAACCTCATCCAGCCCACACCTTCCACTTTCCCTGGTTGTTCCAAGCCCTGTCCATCCTGGCCTTGCACACTTCCAGGGATCCAGGGACAGCCACAGCTGCTCTGGGCACCCTGTGCCAGGGCCTCCCCTCACAGGGAACAATTCCTGCCCAATATCCCATCTAATCCTGCCCCCTGGCAGTGGGAAGCCATTCACCCTTGTCCTGTCACTACAGGCCCTTGTCCCATCCCTCCATCCCTTGTCCCAGTTCCTTCTCCAGCTCTCCTGGAGCCCCTTTGGGCAATGGAAGGGGCTCTGAGATGTCCCTGGAGCCTCCTCAATTCTTCTCCAGGCTGCAGCTGCTTTATCCAGCAACTTCTTAGTGCAGTGATCACATGAAAAATCCCAAGGAGACACCCAAAGTGCACATGCCCTCCTTGCTAGAAAAAGGCCTGCAAGTGCATTTCAGGATGGACTTGCAAAAGAGCATCTCACCTACTCCTGTCACCAGCACTCTTGCTGAACCAGCAGCTGCATCCTCCTCCTGCCTGAGAGCACTTTCTTTGCATTTCCCAGCTCAGGGATTCCCCCAGAGCTCTGGGGAGATGTGTGTGTGTGTGTACAGACTCCGTGTTTGGCCATGGCACTTTCTTGCTGTCGTGTGCTGTGTGAAAGGGCTCCTCCATTTCCTCTGTTGGCAGCAAATGGAGGAGATCTGGCGAGAGATGCGCTGGATCATGGATGTCCTGCAGCACGCCCGCTACAAGCAGCCCTCCTGTGGGATCTCTCTCAGTGGCTTCCTCAGCGAGGCCGGGGGGCCAGCGAAGGAGAAAACGCGATCCTCCTTGTCCCACCTGGACTATCTTCCGTCCCCAGTGCTCTCACCGGAGACCAGCCGCAAGCTCAACTCCGGTAGGGACCCGAGCTCCTGCCTGGGGGCTCAGGGGCTGCCCGGGCTCAGGGGGTCAGGGTGGCTGTGCCCGGCCTGGGGCTTGGGGGTCGGGGTGGCTGTGCCCGGGGTGGCTGTGCCCGGGCTGGGGCTCGGGGGATCGGGGTGGCTGTGCCCGGGGTGCCGGCAGGGCTGGAGCTGTGGACACCCAGGGCAGTCGGTCTCAGGGGGGCAGACCCGCCCTGCCTGTGCCGAGCCGAGCAGCTCAGGTGTGTCACAAGGGGGTAAACCCCAGAGGCTTCCCTGGATTCCCCTCAGCGAGGGATTCCACACTCAGGCTGAGTCGCTCTTTGCTGCTCTCCCCCCGGCAGACTCGCACGGCCTGTCGGACGAGGAGGGCTCTTCGGAGGTGTTCCTGGCCACCGACAGCGACTACGACTCCAGCCGGGCGCAGAGCCCGAAGGAGCTGGACCTGGTGTGCTCCACCTCAGGGCCC